GTTTCAGCGGATGAAACAAGTGGTTGAATCTGGTCTGAGCAGCTGCCAAGAAGAGCACTGATAATCATCTGATCCTGGCGAAACCATTGAAGGTAAGYCGGGTTATCRCCGGTGATGATAGTTTTGGCCGGTGGGTCTGCGAGTCCGACGATGTGGTGATCGAGTTCAAGCCCTATGAGGGTAGAGAGAACTTGTTTACGCCATGAGGAAAAATTATTTGAGGTGAGTTTGATAGGAAAATGGGTAGAGGCAGTAAGATGTACGATCTKTTGAGAGGCCATTGTTGGTTGTGAAGGAGCGGAAACAGGAAGGCTGAATCAGAGAAGGGAAAAAAAATACTCGTGGGAGTTGTCAGGCTCTGATACCATATGAAGTAACAGGTTTAGAGTGGTTGAAAAGGCTTAACTTTCTCATTAATCACAAAAGTATTTAAAGATGATTACAAGCACTAACCAAGGAGAGAAATATGCTACAGTTACAATAATAACTTGACTACCTAAAATACACACACTAATCAAGGAGAGAAATATGCTACAGTTGTAACAATAACTTGACTACCTAAAATACGCAATATTTGAATTTTGAAATATATATACATGGAACTAAATTAATATTATTTATGTATTGTTAATAATATATTCCTTTTCTAATCTGTATATCTCTATATAGAGATATACAGTTTACTAATAGCTTGTTTTCTTCCAGGCCCACTTAAGTTCGACTTGGATAATCCCCAAGACAATATGACGTTGATATTGAATCCAAACTCATGGTTGCAGGTTAACACATTCACCCTTGCTATTTTCCATTGTTTCATGTATTTTGGTAAATTAATGGTTGACTGAATCTTGTAGATGGCTAGTATCATCTTCTTGGATATACCTGCTGGCTCTGGATATTCATACGCTGATACACAAGAAGGGTGGATTAGCAGTGATACAGTTCTAGCTGCCCAAGCTAATGATTTTTTAAAAAAGGTTGCTAAAATCTTACCACTGTTAGCGTTTACCCGGTAAATTGTTGTATACGATACTGTTTTGGTGGACTAAAATCTTACCCAGTAAGTACATGGTAGTGTCGCTGCCTTAATTTGTACAACACTTTTCAATCAAAAGTGTCGTATAGATAGAATAGTAAGGCGATCACTTCTTATACTCTATTGGGTTGTTCAATCTGGTTAATAGAATTTGTTTCACTCTTCCAAATACTGAATGCAATATTACTGTATAGGACACTAGTTTTTATAAGATATTTTTTCAAAATAGTGTCCTATAAAATAGCTATTTGGACTCTTTATCTTTTGGTTCTATAAATTGAGTCGTATGAAGTAGTCTAATAAGACGTTTTGAAATTGATGGCGTCTTATAAACACAATTTTCTTGTAGTGTATTTCTAGGAAGTATAAACCATTTCTAGTTTCATTTGCAACCTGTCAAAATGGTGCATCAAGTGGTTTTTCACCTTTTCTACAACTTTTCTATCTAATTAGCGACTTATGGTTTTTAGCCGAACATTTACGAGTTATCTTTAATGAACAGTTTCTTATCGACCATCCAAAGTTTTTGAAGAACCCGCTCTATGTAGCTGGGATTTCTTATATTGGCATTGCCATTCCCAAAATCACTTTAGAAATATACGAAGGTAATTACATCCGTTGATTTTTCCAATATTTCATTCGATGGTATTGCATAGTTGTGATATGTGTACGTTCTTACGTTTATAGGCAATGAGCGTGGGGATCATCCACCGATGAATATTCAAGTAAATGATCAAACCCTAAAAATATCTGTTCTTAAATTTCATTTTCTGCAAGATTTTAAGTACAGAAATATATGATTATTTTTGTGTTGTTAAACTGTAACGTAGGGGTACATTCTTATGAGTCCTCTCACCAACAAGTTCAACGACTTCAATTCAAGGCTCGAATACGCTCATCGTATGGCACTGATATCAGACGACATTTATAAGGTAATTTAGGTAATATGTTAAGAATCTAAAGTTAAATCTATGAGTCTTTATGTATAGTAATTTGATTTTGCAGTCAGCTATAGAAAATTGTCATGGTAATTATGTAAACGTTGATACGCTCAACACATTATGCGCAAATAGTCTTCAACGATATGAACAGGTGAGAATTATGAACTGATTCATCAAGACTTATGAACTTTGTGAGCATGATATAATGTCATTTAAATTTCAACTTGCAGTGTACATGTCGTATTACACTCGATTACATTTTGGAACCGTTTTGCGATGAAAACGATCCATTATCAGATTGTCAAGTAATCTCTATCTCTTCTCACTATGGAAGACATCCCAAGAAAGTTCTTAGATCTGTTCTTAGATTTGGCTCTTGGATGGGTTAAAAACTAATGAATTCTAGCCTTTTGTTATGATCCCTTTAGGATGCTTTTACCAAGGTTGTAGAGATTTGGGCGAACACCGAAGTTGTACAACAAGCTCTCAACGTTCGTCAAGTATGTGACCAACTATATTTTCTTGAAAATGCATTTGATCTCCGATCTTCGCACGACCTCATTCCATACTTTTCGTTTAGGGAAAAATTGGAAAATGGGAGTTGCTCAACGATACCCTTCATTATAAGCAAGGAAAGAACGACACGGAGTGTTATGCTTATGATATCTTCAGTAGTTTTCCCTATCATAAGAAACTTTCTAGTAAAAATTGTCGAGCATTGATCTTGAGGTAAGTAATAACGCGTTTCCGGCTTCCTAACACTGATTGGATTTTATGTAACTGCAAATTCCATTATGTATATGCATAAAATGTTTTACTGATTAACAGTGGCGACCATGATATGACATTTCCATATGTTGGCATTGAGCAATGGATAACTTCTCTCGATATCGAAATTGAAATCCCATGGCACCCGTTCTATGTTGATGGTCAAGTCGGAGGGTGAGATTTGGCTCCATTCACTTCAATTATATTTTGTTTGTGGGTCTTCTACTCATTCATATTTTAGTACAATGAAAGTTGATTTCACAACATAGAGAAAATGGGAGTTATAGTTCATCATGTATCAACAGTCTAGAGGTGGATGGACCAGACTGGACCGGATAAAGACACAGACTGTTCGTGACATGATCTGGTTGGACCGATAATCTGTAATTGGTCCAAACGTTTTGTAGTTAGGCTGCAGGTCTTGCTTAGATCTCGACGGGTCCAGACACTGCGTTGACTAGATAGAGTTTTTCTCGAACCAGTCCATATGCAACTCATCATCAACAACTCTTTGTGTTTAAGTTCACTTTCAATCAATTTTCTGTTTAGTAATTAGATGACTTTCCATATGCAGATACCAGATGAAATATGCACAAAATGATTATTCATTGACATTTACTACAGTTAAGGTAAAATATGACTTATTGATCTTTTTCATTATTGAAATGAATTTTACAATCATATATGGATCCTAAATAATTCTACATCTTTTGATGCAAATAGTTTTGATATATTTTCAGGGCGCTGGACATTTGGTGCCATATTACAAGCCTAAAGAAACTATTGTGGCTACAAAGACGTGGTTATCGTCACCAACTTATTCGAGCGATTCTTAAATAAGCGGAGATGGACCATTATGTGAACATGCATCATGGAATATATAATCGAACAAAAGAGCGTATATATAATTTCGATTAATCATTCAGGTGTTACTTCGTGACTAGCTGATACGAAACTCCTACTATGCTGTCTAAACTTCAACTCAATAATTAAAGAAACTCTATAAGGGTCTCAAAGTTACCCCTTTGTTGCTTTTCCATGCAGTTATATATATATATAATCTAGTGAAGTTCATCAATGACTTAGCAAGTTCAGAGAAAAATACCTATGTGATGGATTCACAATGTCTTTCCTATGTTCATAATAAAAGTGCTGGGTATTTAAACTTGGAATCATGTTAAACTCCGGAGTTGATCTTTCCCCCTAACCACGGAGTTTTCCGTTTTAAATCATGTACTAGTCGACTTGCCGATGATAAATCATGTTTCAGTTTGATGAGTGTCAATGGTTTAGTTGCTGGATTAAGAAGCTGAATGACTTGTTCCTCTATGTGTTTTCTTGCTAGGCCATATTAATTTTAGGTGATTACAATTTTCTAATGCTTCAAAGTTGAATGAACTTTAGCTTTTTTTTAAAAAAAATCTAGAAAACGTTGTCGTTTAAGGTTACTAATTACGATACCTTTAATACGGTCTAGATTATAGAATATCGTCATGTTTCACATCCATAAACTAAAACTAGCTTACTTTCAGCTTATTAGGAAAGAAAACTGAATTGGGTAAGCTAGTTGATATTCATGAGTTTTTTGTCGATTTCTTCCGATTACACCCTAATTATTTATGTATATCTATGTCTAGAAATGATGGTGTAGCATAGATATCTCTTCTGATTACTGTGACTCACTTCAAAATTTATGTTCATTTGATTAATATCCTGGTATTAGATCAGAGATGTTCATAGGCTTTTGGACTTGGTGCCGAGTAACGTAGGAATCTGAAAGGTTGTTTGTTTGATAGTCTCTAAAGCTTTCAGATTATAGAAGTCATATATAGCGAAGAAGATTCTTTTACCAAAAACAAAACAACAAAAAGGGGACGTATGGTTCGTGCAAGTACACAGTCCAAATAAAATAATTCATCCATTATAGCCTTGGGTAACACGAATTTCGTATTGGGATAATCTAAGAGAAACTTTATAGATCTCAAAGGTTGTGAGATCGAGTTCTTATATATACCCAGATTCTCGTTTACATATTCATATGAGAGATCGATGGATGGTTACAGGTGGTTAAACGGTTAAGATATATAACTATATAGCATTTATTGTTGGAAATTTTAGGGGGTTGGAAGTTTCATCTATCTTACATGATTTAATTTCAAGAGTTATAACTGTTAACGGCAGATAAGATCGGGTAGTAGTTAGATTAGAATAAGAGATAACACCTGAAAAAATCTCATTCCAAGTACTTGAACTTTGACTCCAATTAGCAAACTTTGATTCCAAATACTCAAACTCTGACTCTAAATACTCAAACTCTGACTCTAAATACTCAAACTCTGATTCCAAATACTCGAACTCTGACTTCAAATACTAGAATTCTGATTGCACTTTACAAGATTTGGTCAAATTTGTCGGACGAGGTTCCATTATTCCTTATTGTAATAACTCTAATCCAAACTTAGTTTTGTCAGCGATACATCAGAAGTCTGATTACACTACCTCAAACTTACTTTTAGTGAAACTTCACTAAGGTCAAAAGTAATTTCACAGGTATTTTTATCCTTCTGAAATTAGTCCACTGCCAAGGGGCTCCGGTTATGGAACCCTGCTAGGGGCGCTTGGTCGGGTGTATTTCACACCTTTAGACTAATGAAATTGGGCCAAAAAGCAATTATACAATACGGCCCAACGTCGTCTTTCCAAGTAATAAAGTGGTACAAGTACCGGATTATCATCCACAGAGATTGTA